CAGCCCCAGCCAGCACACCATCCTATATATATATATATATATATATATATATATATATATATATATACCCACTGTCTTCAGGCCAGACTAAGAGTTCCTCTAAGGACTCAGCCAAATACAACCCCTATTCTAGTTCTAGCATCATGGAAGTTGGCTGAGTGTGTAAAACACACATGTACACTCCTGCATGTATAAGTGGCCAAACCCAATGTACCTTCTCCCAGTGGAGAGACCCCAGGAAGCAGAGGAGTCAGCTCCTGAAGGGTCAGGGGAATCCACTACCCCCAGTGGCCATAGTCTATGTTGACAAAACACAAGCTGAGCCTGGGGGTGGTGAAAGCCAACTCTGGAGGTTGGCAGAGTCAGACTGTGAATAAGGCTCTGTGTGGCTCAGCTGAGAGGGCCGGGGGAGGCTGGAATGTCAAGAACGTATTCTCATGACTGGCCCCAGGCTTGGGCCTGTGGTACAGGGCTTGCCAGGGACCTGGGGGTGGGATGGCAGGGTGGGGGAAGAGCAGAGAAATGAGGCAGGCAAAGGATGAGGAGTCTCTCCAGGCCTGCCATCAAGATAGCAGGACAAGGGTTGTCAGGGAGCCTGCAGGCCAAGAGAGGGTGCTGGAGAGAATGAGCTCTTGCCCAGCCAGTTATGGGCATGGACTCCTTGAGCCTGGGCAAAGCCTGCCAATAGCCCTTGCAGCTTGTTTCCAAAGCACCCTTCTCTGACCTCCTCATCGAGCCACCAGCTTTGTGTTTCCGTCTCCCCTTTGATGATGCTCCCTCTTTTTCATTTTTTCAACACATCTCCCCTTTTCTGTAAAAACCTCCTGATGTCTTTTGCTATCTGATCACCCTCTCTCCCTCTGGGCCGTAAGCTCTTCAAGGGCAGGTACTATATCTTCTCCTGGGCAACTCAATATCTGCGGTTGGGCCACAGCACCCACTGGACAGCCCTGAGCAGATGTTTCACAGACCCCTCAAATCCAACACGTCCGAAAGGATAGTAATTACAAACAGAAGATTCCCTCCCACCTTTTCCCTCTGTTCCTGACTTCAGTTAGTGGTCATCCACCCAGTTGCCCAGGTCAGAAACCTAGGAGCCATCCTCAACTCCTCTCTCATCCTCCACATCCTGTCATTCACTTTGGCTCTATCATGTAAATAGTCCACACATTGGCCCCCTCTTTTCTACCCCATGGACCACTGAACCATCACTAGTTTTGCTTAGCTTCCCCCACCTCCATGCCCAATCAATTCTTCACTCAACAGTAATATTCTGAAACAGGAATCTGACTATGTTGCTCTCAGGCTTAGGCCCCTTCAATGTTCCTGGCCCCACTGGGCTTAGGATAAAGTTGAAGTTCCTTCATATGACCTACAGGAGCCTTACGGTCTGGTCTGGCCCCTTCCACTGTTCACACTTATTCCTCACTCTCTGCCTGGCATTCTGCCCTTCAGCTAGACCACACACAGTCCCTGCAATCACATGCTTCCATACTTCTTTGCCCTGCTCTGTGCTCTTCCATCTGCCTGTCTTACTCGTTGGCCCCTTGCCTGCCTGATGAACAACTATGCACCCTTCATGACCTGCTCCCAATGCTGCTTCCTTCTAAAAGGCCCTCATGACAATGCATCGGTACTCCCAGCAACTAATTACTCCCTCTCTGCAGTTCCACAAGGCTTTATACTTTCCACAGCACTTACTTGAAATTGTGATGATTTGTTCACGTGGCATGTTCTTCCTTTCTTAGCCCCTCACCCCATAACACACACAATTGATTGTGAATTCATCAAAGGTAGAGAACAAGTCTCATTTATCCAAATCCCTGAATATCTAACATGGGGCCTATTTCTTAAGAGGTTCATGGTGAGAGCCTCCTCTGGATGGGAATGACCCACTGGATGGGAAGAATGTCATCACTACTCCTGGTCTCCTTGTAGCCTGGGTACCTCTGTAACTGTTAGACTCCTGGCAGCTGGGTTCAGAACCCCCATGTGAGAGGAACATGTCTACAACCAGGAAGCCAAAGGAACCATCACCCTGTAGCAGAACTCTCTGATGTAGAAGTTCATGTCTCATCTTCCCCTGTAAGTGTCTCAACTACCAAACTAGTGCCTGGATCAGGGGTCAAAGCAGAGATGGACTTGTGGTCCTGACCCAGTCCAGGTTATCTTGAATTCCAGAGAGAAAAGGTAGGACTCAATGAAATTAGCAGCCCCATAAGCCTAAAGTGCAAACTTAGTTCTGAAGTGCACTGCTTATATGACCTTGAGTAAGTAATTTCACTTCTCTGACCTCATTTTGTTCATGTCACATGAAGATAATAAGGCTACCGTGTTGAATGTCTATGACAGTCCAACAAGGTCATTTGTTTGAACCTGTAAATCCTTGAATAAATGTAAATTATCTTTCATTGTTCTTGAATTGTCTTTAATTCTGTTATTCCTATGCTGGGTTGGGGGGTCGGGTGGAAGAGGAGGGAATTTAATATGACCAGAACATGACTACAGAGTGATAAGCAGTCCCATCAGCAGTTCATCTAATTTCCCAAACTGTCAATTTAGGTCCTTGCAGGGGCCTGCTTCTTTCCCTCCCACTCTCTCATTCTTTATTCCTGTTTGTCTACCACTGATAATGACATTGACTTGCTTAATCATAGGTCCACTTTAACTTTATAGGGGACTTTCATATTTCATTCCAGAATTTGCCATCACCCTCACACTACTGTTCTTCAAGGACCTTGCCAGTGGCTACTCAGAGGTGGAGGACTTCTGAAGCTTCCTTTCACCTGTAGTCAACTGTGGGTTGAAGATTCACCAGGTTGTCTTGTGGTCTCCAAGGATATATCTAACTGTCAATCATTTGAGAGTGATCTAGGACTGAGACAAATCTCGTAGGACCAGAATTCTCTGTGGTCAAGTGTCTCCATCTAATCTCCAAGTGCAACCACTGTGCAGAGGATAAAAATGATTCCCAGCACAATAGCAACTGCTTTCCCGATAAGCTTTTGCTTGATTTAGAGGCTGGCTGCAAAAAGGCAGAAGAATAGGCAAGGAGACCCTTCGACATCTAAAAGGAATCCTTATTTGTTGCTTTCCTTTTTCTGTTCATTCTCAATTACTGAATTGACTTATCTACCACTACTCAACCACTAATATTTTCATCTTAGCCACTAACATTGCTTACCTGAACTACTGTCTCCTCAGGAATCTCCCTGCTTCTGCTCTAGCTCCCCAAGCCATTCCCCACTCCTATAAGCCAGAGTGATCTCTTCAAGGTGGAAATCTGATCTGGATATTCTCCTGCTCTCTATCTTCCAATGGCTACCTACTCTAAATTGAATCCTCAACCTGGCCTTCAGAGCCCTGCTCCATTTGGCCCTTGCCTCACTTCAGCCTCTGCCTGAAATCTCCTACACCCACATCTTCATATTGCTGGCTCCTGCTTGTCATTCAGGTCTCTGCTCAAAGTTCCATTCCTTAGAGAGACCCTCCCTTACCACCTTTTCCAAAGTAATCTCTTCCAAAACCTCCCCCATCTACCCCCTGTCTCCCTATCACTCTCTAACCAATTCTGGCCTTAAAAGTGTTCTTTTTTGGTTCTTTATGATGTCAGAAATGTCCATATTTGTTTACTTATTTATTGTTTTTCCTTGCTCCATGAAGACTGGGCCCTTATTTGTCTAGATAAGGTCACTTCTCTATCCATACATCTTGCAGTGTGCACTACAGGGCATTGGTGCTCTATGAATTAATTTGTTGAATGAATGAGTTATAATGAGCTTTATCATTATAAAATTGACAATATTTAAAAATGTTTTCTTGTATATTTATTTCTCACAAAGCCTTCAAGGTCAGGATTACTTCTATCCTACTCTTATGGATGCAGAAACTGAGGCTCGAGAGCTTATGGATGGTACCTAATGTCACATATCACTAAGTAGAGGAAGATAGCCCTGAACTTGAACTTTCTGACACTAAATCATGCTCTTTTCACCAACACAATTTTCTGCTAATCTGTCTGATGCTATGTCTACCAAGGATGGCACCTGCCACACAAATGTTGACTAATTATCTGATAATCTTTAGGGTTAGGCCTTGGAATCGGACCGTGAACCATATAGACTATGTCCAGTCCCCGGCTTTGCGTACACGCTCCATTTTGTGAGAGTGGAATGATTTGGAGGAATCAGCCAGTGGGGTGGATACGGTAGGATGGAGTGAATGCTCAGGAGCCTGGGCGTCTAAGCTCCAACTTGCTCTCTCCTTCATCATAGACCATTGAACAACTAGGGTTTAAACTGCATCAGTCGGGCCTCCCTGGCGGCACAAGGAGTTAAGCCTTAGCACTAGGAAGCTATCTGCAGTCATTGTAGCACAAGTTCAATCCCCAGCCAGGGAACTAACACACATGACGCAGCAGAGCTCTCCTGTCTCATCCGCTGCTCCCCTCAGCAGTGTATTTCAGTTAGTCTGCCTGTTCTGTTCCCCACTCTGTCTCTGGTGAATCCTCTCATCCCCTGCATCTGTGGCCTGCACCCCAGCTCTTGTATGCATAAATAAATAAATCCTTAAAAAAATAAACTGCACCAGTCCCCTCATATGTGGACTTTTTTTCAATAAATGCAGTTCAGAACCATGAATGTATCTTCCTTAATAACTTTTTCCCTCTCTAGCTTACTTAATTATAAGAATAGGGTATATTACATATATAACATGAAATATGTGTTAATCAAATGAATATATTATTGGTAAGACTTCAATAGCAGGCTGCTAGTAGTAGTTTTGTGGGAGTCAAAAATTATATGTGGATTTTTGACTGCACAGGGGGTCAGCACTCCCAACCATTACATTGTTCAAGAGTCAATTTTTCTTTTTCTATGGGCTTCAGTGTGTCTTTCTGTGAAATGGGTAGATTGAATTTGCTGACTTCAAAGGTCCTTTCCAATTCTGACATGACCTGGGACTCTGCAATGCCTTGATTTCTTCTGTTTCTTTTGCAGTGCTTCTCATCATTGCAGGGGACGAAGAAAGCCGGTGAGTGTGTGAGGTGAGGCTAACCAGTGGCATGCAGTGGAACTGAGTTTCTCAGTCGTCAGTCCTCTTGGACTGTCTGGTCAGGTCCCTGGTTAGTGCCTAGATGCAAACGCTGGGGGCTTCTGTTTTGTCTTCCTCCAGCGGGCATTTTCTCTGCTCCTTGGACTTCGCCTTTTGGAAGTGAGTGAACGAGTGGAGTTTCTTTCTAGCTCAGATGGAGGGGTTTCTCTGCTTGAGGAGCCAAGGGAGGGTTTCCCCTCAGAGGTATCGGCAAGGGTTAGCCACCCATATGCTTCCCTTATTCTTGGATGTTTTCATTGCACTGGCAAGTATATTAGCATTGGGAGGTATTTTGGAGGAACAAACAGGTAAATGGAAGATAAAGAGAAGAAACTTGGCCTTTGGGGTTCATTGTCTTGATATTTCTGACCCATGTTTTATCTGGAAGGCTTCCCAGAGGGTTACATAGGACATAACCTTGAGGAAAGACATTCCTGCCTTTTTCTCTCTTACAAGTTTTTTTTTTTTTTTTAAGCCTGACTGCCTGCCTGCCTTTCATCTCCAATGTCCTCCTAGAATGTGGACAACTGGGTGACATTCTGGGAGCAACTCCCTTCCATTGATGACTGGGGCAGCAGAGATAGTGAGATACCGGCCCATAATAAATCTACTGCCAGTACCTGAAATAAATACTGGAGTTGGTTTTGCTGAGATAATCTAACCCATCCTCCTAGCTCCAACCTGCCCTCAACCATTCCCCTGGGCTCCAGTTTTTCATCAGTATGAGCCAATGCTTGAATGTGCATGCCTTCTATTTAGTACTAAGGGGTATTGGAAACTGAAAGACACCAATTAACAAGTGGCATGCTAAGGGTCTGTGTGAGGCCTCCTGGGGAGACACTGGAAGAGAACACCTGAACCCTTGCTTCAAAGGGTCTCTCCCAGTAGTTGGACCTGGTTTGAGCAGTCTTACCAAGGTTAGAGAGGGGTTGTGGTGACCGCCCCGGACTTTTCCACCCCTTAGGACCTTGAGTTCTTGGGTGGTGTCTATTAAAAAAGAAGGGCCAACAGAGCAAGTTGTTTATTTGCATTGCTATGACAGCAGATATGAGGGGACCTATTTGAAGCAGGAACACTGCTTTGATCAGCAGACAGCATACATCTGCTTCTCCAGACCCACCTCCCCCACCCAGTCACCATTCCAGGACTTCTTGCTGAGCACAGTTCCTGCTTTGCAACAGAAACTTCTGGGGACACAGGATCTGTGGACTGCCCATACTGGGGGAAGGACATACTTCTCCATTTCAGAGATACCAGCTGTAAAGACTAAAAAGAAACCCCTTGGGCCCTGAAATAGTGACCTCCCCTTTTCCCCGCTTCCCGCAGACAAATGTATTCCCAGCTGCCAAGTTGCCATATTAGAATGTCTGTGCCAGACTGAGTGACCAGCTCTGAACCCTGGGAGGATGGACACCAGGTGACTGAGCGGTCTGTGACTTCCAGAGGAAACAGTGTCTTTTAAAGAGCGGGGCCAGGCAGAAAAGGTTGCCACCTAGGGAGCTGAACTGGGATTGGCTTCTTTTCCCCCTAAGGATAGTATTTTTAAAAAGATTTATTTATTTATGCATACAAGAACAGGGTGTAGGCCAGAGGTGTGGGGGGTGAGAAGATTCGCCAGAGACAGGGTGGGAAACAGAACAGGCAGATCGACTGAAATATTCTGCTGAGGGGAGCAGCGGGCAAGACAGGAGAGGTCTGCTGTTCCATGTGGGTAGCTCCCTGCCCGGGGATCGAACTCATGCTGCAGTGGCTGTGGACAGCCCCACAGGCTGCGTCTCAACCCCTTGAGCCACCAGGGAGGTCCTGGGATTGGTTTTTGTGCTACTTCTGTAGGTTAAAATTTGACAAATGTCTATTTAAGAGCAAATGTGAACACATAGTCTCAGACTGATCCAAGGATAATCTGGCAAAAAGTACATTATGTGGCTGCAGCAATGGAAGTGGCAAGACATGGAGAATCAGGACACCTGGATTTTAGCCCAAGTTTCATTGCTGGTTCACCACGTGAGACTCAACAAGGAACTTCCTGTCTCTGCATCAGTGTCCACATCTATTAAATGGAGCTATTGCACAGGGCTCTCATACAGATCATAAAAGGTATAGTGTGTTAAAAATGTCAAAGTGCTGAAAAAATGTGATTATTTCTGAGATTAGCTCAGGGAAGGGGCAGAACTCTTTGTCTCACTATTTATTTAGTTTTGGAACTCCTGATACCTTCACAGAACACCAGGAATGCCCAATGTTTCAAATTTCAAGAGGCATGTGAAAATAAAAGGTCTTTTCCCACCCCTGCCTCTCAACAACCCAGAAATGTTCTTAGAGGTAACCAAGGTTACCAGTTTCTTGGGCCTTAGATGAGTTTAGAAGTGCTAAAAACATGAGCTGCTCTAGACAGGACTTCAGCGGAGGCTTGAGCTACCTGATTTGGGATGGAGGTAGGTTTGAGAGGATTGTGCAGAAAAGGTACTGAAATTGTGGGGTGGTTAGTTTGGGAGTTAGCATTAGTTTAGCATTAGTTTGGAAGTCAAGAGTCCTGGGATCCAGTCCTGACTGTGCTGCTCATGGTTGAATGATGTTGTCTCCCACTCTCTAACCCTTGATATTCCTTCCATTCTCACAATGCCTGTTGTATTCTCATATGCCATTCTTCCAAGTTCTAGTAGAGTAGAACACATGTGCTGGAGGACAGTCCCAACCAAAGACCTTCTGGAGAAGAAAAATCCAAGCCACCATATGATTTGCATATGTAGTTTTCCTGTTATGATTAGCTAACCAAGGGTTTCTCTGACATGTTACTGATTTGGTTCTAGTGGTCTCACTTACACAGCAAGTGTTTGGCACCATCTTCACAGGAAAACATTAGGAATGTTCAACTGGCTTCTACATATGTAGTGCTGCCCAGACACAGGAAAGTGCCTGAATGACCTGTGACTGTCCTGCTATCGTGGTCCAAGATTCCACCAGTATTATGTTTCCCGAATGTCACAGATTATGAACCAGCTTCACAATTTTGCCACCACTTTATCCTTTAACATTATATACTTGTTATTTTCCTTTAAATCAACTCAATTTTAAACAAATATGCCATAATATTTATGAAATTAGGTTTTGAGGAATAAGTTATCATTTTCCGATTTGATGCTGAATTTTATATGTATCATGATTCAAGATGTCAGTGCCTCACTTCACATCATCCTGAATATACAGGAAGCACTGGAAACAGAACCGGTGATGACAAAACTCCTCCCTAGAGGAGGGTGAAGCTTTCAGGGCTCACTTCAAGACTCATCAGGGGTTTTGGGTTCGCTGTGTCACTTCACATTCCTTTCAGGTGCTCATATCATGTGTTTGAGCATGAATTGCTCCTTAGATATAAATGGATTCTGGGGTCTAAAAAAGATTCCCTTCCCTCCAAACAATTCTGGCAGCTTCATTGGTACTGAAGAGAGAACATTTGTCTGGGGGAGTCAGAAGCTCTAGGTTCCTGTTTTGACTCTGCCCTTTGCCAGCTGTGTGACCTTGGGCCTGTGCCCTTCCTTCCTGGATCTTAGTGTCCCAACTTTAAAAGGATACTTTATTCTAACTGACCTCTGAGGTATCTTGATGTTCTGAAATTCAATAACACCTTTGCTTGCAGACCCCATACTTCTGCTTAAACTATTAACTCCCCTTCCTAGCAACTCCCAGAGGTGAGGAAGCTGATGATCTTCCCTCACATTGTCCTTGCACCAAATCCTTTATGAGCCTCCTTGCGTCTAGTGCAAAAAGCCCCCTTTTTTGGCAGGACTCATGCAGGGCTTCTCTCCAGGTTCCTGTTAAAGTGGCTAAGGTGAACTGAGGGGTAATAGTTGGCCTGTAATAAACAAAAGCTTCAGTTCCCCAAACCAACTGGCTCCACCCTGGCTGTAGGCTGTAGGCTTGGCCTTGGTACCATACTCCATTCATCAGCTACCCCAGAACCCTCCTTCCAGCTCTGTGGGATCAGGGCACCCAGGTTAAGAAGTGGAAAACAGAAACAAATATATTTATTTAAGTGCACTTATCTAAGTTGCTACTGAGAATCACTTCCAAGGCTCAGGAGAGTTGTAGACTGAGCCCACAAAAACCATCATCATCATAATAATAATTTGATTCACTTCCTTTCTTTTGAAAATGACCAAATCATTCTTGTAACGAATTCTTGACTGATCTGGTCATTTAACATTTACTATTGATATTTTATGAAGAACATTTTCAGTGCCTAGCTTATCTAGCATTTGACAGATATTTTTTTTTACCCAGAAACTTAAAATTGTGTAAAGATTTACTTAGTTAAGAAATATCTGGAACTGATTATCACTTGAGATGGAAAATCTTTCAACCATTATTGACAGTGAATTTGCTAAGGCAAAGACACTGGACTGTAGGTTGAGAAATCTAAGATCGAGTCCCAGGTCTGACATTAACTCCTCCTGTGACCTTGAGTTAGTTGCCTCTCCTCCCTAGGTCTCAGTTTCCTTTCTGAAAAATGAAAAGTTGAGCTACAAATTCCCTCTGACCCTCTCCCCAGCCCACACTTACCAGAGTCAAACTGAAAGGAGGGAGAAGGCAGGGATAGGGTCAATGGAAAGGGCAATTTCAAGATGTTCTTTGGGTTGGGGAAAGGATTTACAGACCTGTCGAGGGATATAACAGTTTCCTTTGGGGTCGAAAGGGATTGGGAAGCCCAGGTTTCCTGGTGTCTGTTTTCAGGAATGCAAAGCAGAAAGTCAGACCTATGCTTGCAGATGCATGTCAGGCAAATGATTTGAGGCAAACCTAGCTGGCCACTTTCCAGCCTGGAATCTAGAAGATCAGCAAAAGTGCTGGATAGCATAGAATAACTACCCAGGGACTGGAGAGGGAATGAGAAAAGTGTGGTGGAACAACAGGTCTGGAAAAGACCTGGAAAGTACTATTGG